TATACACACATGCAACCAAACCACCACCTGGTTACCACATCACACCGGTATACCAGCACACACCACCCTGGCTATACCACAACACACACACCACCCTGGCTATACCACAACACACACACCACCCTGGCTTTACCACAACACACACCACCCTGGCTATACCACAACACACACCACCTTGGCTATACCACAACACACACCACCCTGGCTATACCACAGCACACACCACCCTGGCTGTACCACAACACACACCACCCTGGCTATACCACAATACACACCACCCTTGCTATACCGCAACACACCACCCTGGCTATACCACAACACCCACCACCCTGGCTATACCTCACATACACCACCCTGGCTTATACCACACAATATCTTGTACAAACCACACCACGAGCTATGAATCATAACATACCTGTATACAATACACAACGCTGCAGAAAGGCATCCCAGCACTGAGCTTATCCACTACAAATCATGCGCACAACACCACAACACCACTGACCACACGACAATACAGGAAGCGAACAATCACAACTGAGAAAACAGAACACATGACGTATGCACAACCACAATGGATAGTATCATAACCATCTACGAAAATGAGGAGCATGGTATTTATCGAAGGAGGTGAACATTGTGATTACCACAGCGTTACTTGCCCACCTTAAGGACATGAAGTCCACCACATCCCTCATACACACGAACTCATATACTAACCAACACTCCTCTCATGTCTCCAAGCCTGTAGGATGGTTATTGCTTGTGATGTGGGATGTATTAAATATCAAATCATGCTATATCTATAATCTCAAAGGCTCCTTATCTTTTCCTCGGATCAAACCTCAGCACCTTCCCTTTCCCAAGTGCTGTACGACCCAGACGGATCTAGCGTTTCCTTGTGATTTTTTAAAATAATAAGGTATATTGTTACCCAGCCTTAAAGTACAGTACTGGTATGTATCAAGGCTTAATTAAGTACGTTTTCACATCCTTGCTAGCACTGGGAGATCGTTCACTAGGTTTTAATATAAATAATAAGTCTATCGAATAACAAGTTCGAACGAATTCACGTCCGAAATGGCTGACAGGTGTTAATCGGCTGACTTTAGTTAACCATGTGACTGCCAAACCTCAACAGCAGAAACGAGAGAAAGCACAACAGTTGGTGCTTGGTGTTAATACCAGTGTGGTAGCCGCTGAACCTATGAAGGGTCAAATCACCTCTTAGTTATTTCCGGCAAGATTAAAACAACAAAAGTATTTACGGGAAACAACACAACACCTGGTATATGTTAAGAAAGAATTAAGACACATGTGCAACATCTGGGTATCTTTATTTGTAGACGTTTCGCCATCCAGTGGCTTTATCAATACAATAAATGGACATAATGTGAAAACTGTAAAACTATATACAATATATGAGGTAATCAGTCCATCAGCTCTGCAGCTAGTGAAGAGCACGGTAGTCTTGCTAAACACATCACAAGAAAAAACCTAGTGTCAATTGTCCAACCTAGAAAAAAAAGTACACCACACGGAAAAAACATTGCAAACGTCGCGTTTCTCTGTACACGGTAAGCAGCCACCGCCACATAGTGAGTTCTGTGTTTTTATATAACTAAATAATTAGCCATGTAAAATAGCCGAGAACTGCTCAGTGTATATATTGTCTGTTTGGAAAAAATATATGGGATCATATCTAATTAAATCTTACCCCTTAGGCGCAATATAATCCTTAAGTCTTTTGCGCTCAATAATAATAATTAATAATATAATAATAATAATCTGTATACGGTGTTAATTACAATCCAGATGAGAATAAATAGTGGTCAATGAGGAAATCATTAAGGAAAACACAGTAATATCAAAGCACACCAGCGCTTCACAAATTATATATAATATATATATATATATATATATATATATATATATATAATATATAATATATATATATATATTATATAGTGCAAATTAAATATCAATTATAAGTATTGTTGAAATAGTTTCTAAATTTGTTCTTAAGTTTAAAGTATAATATTTATCCTTTTAAATTTATAAAATTGTATAATTTTTACAAAATATCTTCAAAAATTAACTATTAAAAATGATAATTTTAGCCAAAACCTCAAAATATTACTAATTACAATAATTTAAAGAAAGAATTAATTAGACCTAATCCAATAAATTATTTTGAATGATATTTGCGAAATATTTGATACAAATTTCGCAATGCATTATTATTCAGGTTGAGAATGTTTTGCGAAATTATGCATACACAAAGTTTTCCTGCTTATTCGCGGCAAGACACTGGAGGCAGTTAGGCAGAAATCGCAAAGTTTTAAATATATCGGGGATAGACAAGGGGACAAGACAGGATGTTCCAGGAGGACAGAATAACGACATAAAATACTGGAAGTTAAATACCAAGGTGGACAAAGGAGTAGGAGTTCTTCCAAGAGGCACAGGAAAAAGGCCAATGAAATACTCAGTGAGTCAAGGGAATGTTAGAAGTATTTCTTAGTCAAAGTTGTAAGCAGTGGAATAGCTAGAAAGTGACGAGGGGGGCCGGGACTATGAATACGTTGAACAAAAACTTTGATAAAGCTATGACAGATAATAATATGAAGAGGCGAGGACAGAAGCTTAAGACCCTGCAACCACATAATAGGTGAGTGTATATATATATATATATAATGTTATTGCACAGGAAATAACTATTCCATGGTGTGGATAGGCTACTACTATCGTAAAATATACAAAAATATCCGAGTTCCTCCGACAACCAACATTTAATAATAACTATTTATTCATTTAGGTGCACTGTATATAAATCACTAATTCGAACATATGAAATACAGAGGCAAGCAGGTAGGCAGGCAGAAGTCACCGCACCACAGCAGTGTCGGGGTCCCGCCTAGCGCTCTTCATGCACAGATGGAATCAGTGACCCATATAGCTGCCTTAACAGATTCCTCAGAAACGCCTGATAAGACGCACATGTTCCGGCAACACATACCTTATACGTGCACACACACCATATATACACACACACATTATATATATATATATATATATGTATACCATATACATACAAACACACACACCATATACATATAAAAAACTGTTGAGAAGTGCCTCTGACAAGAAGTAACACACACACACGCAAAAAAAAAGGGCAGGTTTTTATTGACACGTGTCTTTGATAAAACGATAAGTAAAGAAAAAATATAAATAAAATAAATTCATGTGAAGTCAGCTCCAAATTTAAACATTCAAAAGTATTATAATAGCTTCTGGTGTTAGTGAAATCACACTACTACGCCTAGCGCACTTATCAGTGTCAAGGTCACAGTAATGCGCCTAGCGCACTTATCATTTTAATTTACAACTGGGAAGCGTTGAACCCTCAAGGATCATACAGTGCCTATTGAACAGGATTGAGATATGATCCCAGCAGGCATATACTGTCCAGACAGATATATACTGTGTCAAAAGCTTTCAGCTATTTTGCTTAACAGTGCCAAGGTCACAGTACTGTGTCTGTGTGAAGGTCACTGTACGACCCCTGAGGCACTTATAAGTGTCAGAAAGGCATCAATAATGCGCCTGACGCATTTATCAATACCTTGAAGGTCACAACACAGCTCCTGG